AGTCTTCTTTGCTTTACGTCCCCTACCTTTGGCAACAGGCTCCGGCTTGGCCTTTACCTTTGGTGTGGCCTTTGGTGCAGTGGTGGATGGATGACTTCCCATTGCACACGGTGGAAGGTCGATGAAGAAGAGATCCGTTCTAAGTCCATGATACAACAAAAGAGAAGTTATTGTTTATATCACGACAGTGTGTCAGGTTGTCATGTTATCAAGTTGTTTTGCCAATGTATGTGTGTCTGTGCATAGCGTGCATCATCCACCAAATAGCTTGAAGTGGTGAAAACCAAAAGAAGAGACCATAGTCAGAGTCAGTACAATAGTATATCAGTGTACAAAAACAACCAACTCAAATAACCATCCTGCCAAGATAATACATTTGGAAATCCAACATACTGCACCCCGGACACGTATTGTTATTTTTAACTTTCAGCTTTGCTCGACGTCTATGGCAATTTGCTCGCTTGATCATTGCTACTTGCTTCCATCCAACAGTACTACGAACAATCAACGCCTGTCTCGAGTGAATTTCTTCAGACCAAGGCGCTGATAAAAAAAGAAGAAAACCATCTAAAGCAAAGGGACGAAGGCCCAACATTGGGGACAATCTTTATCCCAGACATCCCACAGCAATCCCAAAGGGCCAGGCTTCAACTTCAACATTGCTGAGCTAAGCTGTGCTTTGAATTTGGTTCCCTTTGCAGACATACGGAAAACTATCTCACAAACAAAAGTCAAAATCATATACATATGATTAAATTTTCGGTTGATCGTGAGTGGCTAACTGGCTCGACCTCTGTTGGTTATGTGTGAACAATCTGCAATCTGGACTATATTATTGTATTTTCTACAAACATATTAAATTTTATACATTATATTTTATACTATTTATATTATATTTTTAAAAATTATATTTTATATTTTATATATTTTTTTAAAATATTTTCTATTTAATATTATATATTTTATAATTTTTTACATACTAGGTAACAATTATTAGATTTTATTAGAGCGCATGCCCGCTACTTCCTTTTCCTTTGTTTTCTCTTTTTTTTCCTCCTCCTCGACTAGTTGTTTTCTTCTTCCTCCTCGCCTCCGCCTTTTTTACCTCTACTTCCGCTAATTTCCCAGCTTAGTCACTAAGCTTTTTACTAATTTCCCAGCTTAGTGCGCATTACTGGACGTTAACCTGCGAAATATTTAGCTTAATATACATCGTTGGACCTTAACCGCGGATTTGCCCAGCTTAGTGTGCACCACTGGACTTTAACCTGGGACCTGCGTAACTCAATATACATCCCTGGACCTCAACCTGGGACCTTCCCAGCTTAGTATGCACCGCTGGACCTCAACGGCCAGATAGAATACCAGAAGATATACCAGATAGAATGTCAAATAAAATGTTAGAAAATATAGCAAAAAATATGTTAGATAAATTGCCAGAAAATATGCGAGAAGATATGCCAGA